TCACCCTCTGCAACTCCCTGACAGGAGGTTGGAGTCAGGTGGGGGTTGGTCTCTTCTCCCAGGCAACCAGCAGCAGGACAAGAGGGCACAGACTCAAGCTCTGCCAGGGGAGGGCTAGGTTGGATGTTAGGAAGAGATTTTTTCTGGAGAGAGTGATCAGGCATTGGATCAGGCATGTATAGCAAGAATCATGTTGGTTTACATATGTACATGTTCCAGAGCCTCCACCTCTGCTGGCTCCGTGGGAGAAGGGCCCTGGTGCTTCCTAGCACGGCCCAGGGTGGCATTACCTGTTGTACCTGTGCCTCCCAAACAGTTTTAATTGGATACACATCCCATGCAGATTCTGTCCTGCTGATTTGTGCAGCTTCCAGCAGGCGTTAGAGCTGCAGCTCTTTACAGCAGAGTAGATGAAGATGTTACTTGGTTACGAAGAGGCCAAACAGCAGTAAAAGCATTTTTGTAGCTTGGGCATCAAAGAAGGGATTTTCACCATTCAGAGGATTCAGTGAGAACTCCAGCACTTTAACTAAGAATTTCCTCCTTTTGCCCTCAGAAAATCTTCACAGACCCTGGTAGCTTGTCCATGGCAACGGTCAACAAGCTCCGAGAGACCTGCAGGGAGAAGGTGCTTTCTCAGGGATGACTCCCCCAGTGTTCCCAGGTGGTCAGACACTCCAGCAGTCGACACATTCCTCCTTTTGCACTGACTCAACACACTTCAAGCTTTCCATGAGTTAATTGACACTTGACCAATTTTTCCTGCCTTTCAAGTAAGTGTGTAACACTCTGTACTGTATGTCAGACTCGGTAACTGGAGCTGGTTGTTTTGTTAGTGTTTGTGGGTGGTGTGTTGTTTTTATTTTTTTTAAAGGATTAAAGTGTTTCCAGAAGTAGAATGTGTGATCAGTGTCAGGACACTTCTTTTAAACAAACAGTCCCAGGGCATTTTGTAATGTTAAAACAGGTGTATAAAGTCCATATTGCTGTATTAACTGTGACACACAACTTCCCTTTGTACCAAATAAATTAATTTTATTTGTCAGAACCTGTTTCTTGGTGTCAAGAGTAAAATGTGTGATCTCCTTCCTGACTGTCATTAACTGGCTAGAATACAAGCATCTTCCTTTTTTCCTCACTGCTATCACTTAAGGAAGTCAGTAAGTAGGGGGAAGTGCAGGGCAAGAGAGCAATGAAATTCATCTTTATCTTCAGCAGCAATTAATCTATGCAGTGTGTAAAGGTAAAGGCAGCAGGGACCAGGTGCAGGCTGTGGAAAGCAGCAGCAACACTTCCTTGAGAGTCAGATTGGATGTTAGAGAAATGTTTTCCCTGTGAGGGTGTTCAGGCACTGGGATAGATTGCCCAGGGAGGTGGTGGAGTCACCATCCTTGGAAAAGGTGTCTGAATCTGACACTGAAGGCTTTAGTTTAGGGTTTAGGGGTTCCAACAGTGACAGGTTAATGGTTGGACTCGATTATCTTAGAGGTCTCCTCCAACCTTAATGATTCTAGGATTCCTCTACGACCATTTGGAATATTTTATACACTTACTCACGGGTTTGTAGCTCTAGCATAGAGGTAACAACTAATTTGATTCCAAAGTGCAGGTGGCAGTTCTCACTTCGTTGGGACACTGAAAGCAGATGCTGCACTTCTGCTTTGTGCTCATTTTCTGAGACAGCACTACAGCTGCTCTAGCTTCATCACCTCTATCCCTAAAAATCTGAGGAGAAACACTTGTAAAGACAGGCAGGAACAGACTTCTTCCTTTGGCAGGGGAGGACACGGGGCAAGGCCGAAGTGGCACCTTTAAATAAACATTCTAAATAAACATCCAAACTTTGGATAGTGTCCCTGGCCCTGGGCCCTTTCCAGCCCTGCTGGAGCCCGGGAATTACTTACTTGTCCATACAGAGCCCTCTCGTGGCCAAATCCAGCTGGGGAAGAGGGGGGAGACGACTGGGACATCAGTAACTTGTGCTTTTTATGCTCCCTGTTAAACAACTACTGGATGAAGTCTCATCCTTTAACAGCACATTCCTTCTCCAACTCTACTCCAGCATCTATCTTCAGCATTCTCTACTAAGGAAGATTCCCCCTCACCCCACAGACTGAGTTTCATTCCTCAGTAGGGGAAAAAAAATGACAATTTTCCAGAAGTGAAGTAGAGGAGACAAGACTGCTGCTCAGCATTGATTCCGAGCTATCCTGCCCTTTATGGTATCAACACACATCTTGTTCCTTAAGCACAGAACTCAGGATTGCATCTAGATGGTTCCTAATTTCCTCCAGTGAGGGAGAATCCACGAC